CGTCCCTTGGGCATGACCTACTTCCACTGGGAAATCCCGCCTACCAGTGACAATGCCTTCATCTGCTGAAGTTATATATTTTTGGGGAATGGATTTGTATGGAATGGACCTTCAAGGAAGCGGAAGGTCACGGCCAAGTGACTCCACTTAACAGGTCACCTTATAACAAGCACAGGCAAGGTAAATGGTCTCGGATGCATCTAATGTGACAGTTAGTCGTGGCAACGTTTCGCTCGCCAGGAGCTTCGTCAAACCTTTACAAACATTTTGCCGGTAATTCTATCATTATTACTAAGACAAGCGGTACAAGAACTTTCTCATTTCTCCTAACAGACAAATTACCACCAACACATCTTGTCCCCGCTCTTGTCATTTAGAACAATCTCTGAATTTTCATCCCCCCCTCACGTTAGTGCGTCTGAGATTCTTTGAAGTCTTGAAAACGTTCGTCTTCAAGGCCATTATCCTCAGTTCAGTTATATTCTCATAATGATTCTCCCTCAGTTGCAAAATCAGCCTCGTTGCGAACCTCTCGAGTTTCAGAAGCTTACAAACCACAGAACGGGCGGGGATTGAACCCATGGTAAATGAGTCTTAAAAGTCCAGGTCAGTGCATAAGCCACTCGGACAGCTTGCCTGGCGTTTGGGGACTCACTTAACCATAGGTTCATTTCCCGCCCGTTCCGTGGTTTGTTTGCAATCGTGTTATTGCGATTTCTTGAGTTGAGTCATTCAGAAGCTTGTTCGTGCATACGAGTAACTTGATATGATCTCAATGCTGGTGTAGCTTACTTAAATAAAGACGTGTCTAACACACGGCTTCCAGAGTCTTCTGAAAATCTCTTCCTTTGGGTTTTTAAACTTGATCTCGGATTTACCAGCCTTGTGGATGATTCTATTTCTCTATTTTCCACTCATACACCGAGATAGTATACAACAGCAATTAATCTAAAAAGAAATAGACTTTTCTTCTCGACAGATAGCCTTGTGTGGAAAGCCAAGTTCTCTGCTTTCTATCCCATGTACTCCCACGTATCCATGTGATGCTGTGCATGTGCGTCTCCGGGAAGGTGGATGAATATAATTCTGGAAATAAAATGTTGGATATATCACGCAAGCTCTGACATAACTGAAGTTACAAGTTTTTATTAAGCAGGAGAGAGGCAAAGGAAGCTGACTGACTGACTGACAGAAAGACAGAAACAGAAAGTAAATATAAGTCAAGGTCTGAACAATAGAAGGTTGCAGGAGGGACAGACAGACTCAGAAATAGACAGATAGACAGATAGGCACGCACACCACACACACACACACACACACACACACACACACACACACACACACACACACACACACACACACACACACACACACACACACACACACACACACACACACACACACACACACACACACACACACCACACACACACACACACACACACACACACACACACACACACACACATATGTAACTGCGGACAGAGACAAAAAAAAGAAGAGAAATATGAGTCAAGATGGAGTGATGTATCAGACAGAAGACTGCACAAGAGAGACAAAATGTTGCAAAATGTGCATCATTGCTTTTATCCCGGCTTTGATAAGAAAAAAAACAAGCTTAGACGTGAGGAAAAATAATTTATTTTTCTCAGAGATGTTTCAAAGGCGTCCAGAGGAGTCATTGTGCGCTTATTTAAATGTGTGTGTGTGTGTGTGTGTGTGTGTACTCACCTAGTTGTTCTCACCTAGTTGAGGTTGCAGGGGTCGAGTCCTAGCTTCTGGCCCGGCCTCTTCACTGATCGCTACTAGGTCACTCTCCCTGAACCATGAGCTTTATCATATCTCTGCTTAAAGCTATGTATGGATCCTGCCTCCACTACATCGCTTCCCAAACTATTCCACTTCCTGACTACTCTGTGGCTGAAGAAATACTTCCTAACATCTCTGTGATTCATCTGTGTCTTCAGCATCCAACTGTGTCCCTCGTTGCTGTGTCCCATCTCTGGAACATCCTGTCTTTGTCCACCTTGTCAATTCCTCTCAGTATTTTGTACGTCGTTATCACGTCCCTCCTATCTCTCACGTCCTCCAGTGTCGTCAGGTCGATTTCCCTCAACCACTCCTCGTAGGACATACCCCTTAGCTCTGGGACTAGTCTTGTTGCAAACCTTTGCACTTTCTCTAGTTTCTTTACGTGCTTGGCTAGGTGTGGATTCCAAACTGGTGCCGTGTGTGTGTGTGTGTGTGTGTGTGTGTGTGTGTGTGTGTGTGTGTGTGTGTGTGTGTGTGTGTGTGTGTGTGTGTGTGTGTTGTGTGTGTGTGTGTGTGTGTGTGTGTGTGTGTGTGTGTGTGTGTGTGTGTGTGTGTGTGTGTGTACTCACATAATTGTGGTTGCAGAGGTCGAGACTCAGCTCCTGGCCCCGCATCTTCACTGAACGCTACTGGGTCCCCTCTCTCTCCCTGCTCTATGAGCTTTATCATACCTCGTCTTAAAGCTATGTATGGTTCCTGCCTCCACTATATCACTTGCTAGACTGTTCCATGTCCTGACTACTCTATGACTGAAGAAATACTTCCTAACATTCCTTTGACTCATCTGAGTCTTCAACTTCCATCTTCAACTTCCCCTTGTTTCTGTGTCCCCTCTCTGTCTCTGTCCACCTTGTCTATTCCACGCAGTATTTTGCATGTCGTTATCATGTCTCCTCTCTCCCTGCTCTATGAGCTTTATCATACCTCGTCTTAAAGCTATGTATGGTTCCTGCCTCCACTATATCACTTGCTAGACTGTTGCATGTCCTGACTACTCTGTGACTGAAGAAATACTTCCTAACATTCCTTTGACTCATCTGAGTCTTCAACTTCCATCTTCAACTTCCCCTTGTTTCTGTGTCCCCTCTCTGTCTCTGTCCACCTTGTCTATTCCACGCAGTATTTTGCATGTCGTTATCATGTCTCCTCTAACCCTCCTGTCCTCCAGTGTCGTCAGGCCGATTTCCCTTAACCTTTCTTCGTAGGATATTAGCCTTAGCTCTGGAACTAACCTTGTGGCAAACCTTTGCACTTTCTCTAATTTCTTAACATGCTTGACCCGGTGTGTGTTCCAAACTGGTGCTGCATACTCCAGTATGGGCCTGACGTACACTGTGTACAGTGTCTTGAACGATTCCTTACTAAGGTATTGGAACGCTATTCTCAGGTTTGCCAGGCGCCCATATGCTGCAGCAGTTATCTGGTTGATGTGTGCTTCCGGAGACGTGCTCTGTATTATACCCCAAGATCTTTCTCCTCGAGCGAGGTTTGCAGTCTTTGGCCACATAGCCTATACTCTGTCTGCGGTCTTCTGTGCCCTTCGACGATCTTCATGACTTTGCATTTGGCGGTGTTAAATTCGAGAAGCCAGTTGCTGGACCAGGTGTCCAGCCTGTCCAGGTCTCTTGAAAGTCCTACCTGATCCTCATCTCATTTAATTCTCCTCATTAACTTCACATCTTTTGCGAGCAGGGACACTTCTGGTGGCTTGGTGGTTAACGCTCTCGCTTCACACGGCGAGGGCCTGGGTTCGATTCCCAGCCAGAGTAGAAACATTGGACGTGTTTCTTTCCACCTGTTGTCTATGTTCCCCATCAGTAAAATGGGTACCTGGGTGTTAGTCGACTGGTGTGGGTCGCATCCTGGGACACTGACCTAATTTGCCCGAAATGCGGAGCATAACAAGGGACTTTCTATATAGTAGTATGTCATTGTTGTCAGCTAGGACTGTATACCATGTACATGTACTTGTAGTAAATAAAGATATTATTATTATTATTATTATATTATTATTATTATTATTATTATTATTATTATTATTATTATCCCTTCCATCATGTCGTTCACATATACCAAAAACAGCACTGATCCTAGGACCTACCCCTGTGGGACCCCGCTCGTCACAGGTGCCCACTGTGATACCTCAATATGTACCATGACTCGTTGTTGCCTCCCTGTCAGATATTCTCTGATCCATTGCAGTGCCCTTCCTGTTATGCGCCTAATCCTCTAGCTTCCGCACTAATCTCTTGTGAGGAACTGTGTCAAAGGCCTTCTTGCAGCCCCCCCCAAAAAAGTGCAATCAACCTACCCCCCTCTCTCGTGTCTTACTTTTGTTAATTTATCATTAAACTCCAGAAGGTTTGTGACTCAGGATTTGCCTTCCATGAATCCGTGCTGGTTGTCGTTTACAATCTTGTTCCGTTTTTGGTGCTCCACCACTCTCCTGATAATCTTCTCCATAACTTTGCATACTATACACGTCAGTGACACTGGTCTGTAGTTTAGTACCTGTTTTCTGTCTCCTTTTTTATAAATGGGAACTACATTTGCTGTCTTCCATACCTCAGGTAGTTGCCCAGTTTCAAGGGATGTGTTGAAGATTGTAGTTAGTGGCACACACAGCATTTCTGTTCCCTCTTTAAGGACCCACGGGGAGATGTTGTCTGGTCCCATTGTCTTTGAGGCATCAAGGTCACTTAGCAGCTTCTTCACCTCCTCCTTAGTTGTGTGTATGTCATTCAACTCTTGTTGGTGTATTCCTTCTTGGTGTCCCCTTCTGTCCTGTCTTCCCAGAGTCCTTCTTGTCTCCACTGCAAATACTTTCTTCAGTCTCATGTTGAGCTCCTCACATACCTCTTAATCGTTTCTTGTGAGTTCCCACCTTCTTTCCTCAGCCTGATCACCTGGTCTTTGACTGTTGCCTTCCTCTTAATGTGGTTACACAGCAGTGTCGGGTCAGACTTGGCTTTCGATGCTATGTCATTTTCGTACTGCCGCTGTGCCTCCTTCCTAATCTGTTCATACTCGTTTCTGGCTCTTAGACTAACCTCCTTATTTTCCTGGGGCCTTTGCCTTCTGTACTTTTTCCATTCTCTAGTGCACTTAGTTTTTGCCTCCCTACACCTTCGAGTAAACCAAGGACTCGCTTTGATCTTCAGATTATTTCTGTTGCCCTTGGGAACAAACCTTTCCTCTGCCTCCTTGTATTTTGTTGTTACATATTCCATCATTTCGTTTACTGACTTTCCTGTGTGTGTGTGTGTATGTGTGTGTGTGTGTGTGTGTGTGTGTGTGTGTGTGTGTGTGTGTGTGTGTGTGTGTGTGTGTGTGTGTGTGTGTGAGTGTGTGTGTTTGAGTTTGTGTGTTTATTTCAATATAAATTTAAGAACACATAATAATTACAATAAAGTGAATAATAATAATAATAATAATAATAATAATTATTATTATTATTATTATTATTATTATTATTATTATTATTATTATATTTTCTCTCATAATTATTATCATTATCATCGTAACCATCATCATTATTAACGTCATTATTATTACTGTCACTATTATCATGCTTTATGTCAAACAATTTGTCTTTATAAAGCAAATTTTAGTGAAGTGTAAACAGATCTCTTTTTCCCGTGTGTGTCAGAGGCGGAAGAGCAACCTGCTTTGCATATGAGAGAGAATAAACAAGCGAGATATTATCACACCTTTATCAGCACTGGCGGAGGCTGCAGGCAAGTTTTTATACAGATTCCTTCAGCTCTCACTGATGTCAGAGTGAATTAATTGAAAGTAAACTTCTGGAAGTGATATCCTCTGCCAGGAGGCTGAGAGTATAAATGGGAGGGCGGCAGCGGGTCGGGCACACAATTAGCTGGTTCCTCCAGAATGAAGTTTGTAAGTTGTGTTGGACATTTATGTGAAGGTAGTCAGAGAAATGAGTGCATAGATGTTTTGTTAAATGGATGCCGCTGTCTCAGTTATATGTTTTAGCAGATGTTGGGGTTTCATATTTCCACTTGAGGAATGTGTGTTTATGAAGCAATGTTAAAAATGATGGACTGAAAACATCGACTCCAGGCTGAGGGACTGATTACCTCAAACTCCTCCTCATCTTGCACCTTTCGCTACACTAGACTGAAGAAGCCATGATACATAACATGGCCTCAGAAGAGTGCAATGTTGAGTGCTTGCCAATTAGACAAAAACACAAATATCTTTGTTACTAGGGCAATATAATTAAGTTTCAAGACAATAATGGTAATTTAGATTCTGCGGGAGCCTCATTTTCTATAAAAATATTCTTGAAAAATAAAATACAGAGGTTTATTTTGAAAAAAAAAAAAACGAGTTGTGTAGGGTGGATGTAAGGATATAAGACAGTGTTGTTGTTCCTCCTGCAGGCGTCGCTGATCTTGGTGTTGATGTTGGTCGTGTCTGCGGTCTTTGCCGAACCAGCACCGCATAAGTACAAGAAAGGCGGCTTCGGTCGGTACCGTGGAGGCTTCGGTTACGCTCCCGTCAAGGTGATTCCTGTCCACTATCCAGTCTACGTCGGCGGCTACGGTGGTGGCTACGGTGGCGGCTATGGTGGTGGCTTTAATGGAGGCTTCGGCCATGGTTTTGGCGGTGGCTTCGGCCATGGTTTTGGCGGTGGCTTCGGCGGCGGCTACGGAGGCCTGTACGGCGGAAATTATGGAGGAGGTTACGGCTATGGACGGTAAACTGAATGGAAATTTCTAGGCTTATTTGAGGGCATTGCCAGTGTTCTTACTGAGGCTGTGGCCACACTATCCTGTGTTGGCTGTACTCAACCTTTACTGGTGTACATGCTCGCTGCTACTACCATCTCTGTGATTTATTCTCATAATTATACATACGCTTATATATATATATATATATATATATATATATAATATATATATATATATATATAATATATATATATATATATATATATATATATATATAAAATAATATATATATATATATATATATATATATATATATATATATATATATTATATATATATATATATAATATATATATATATATATATAAATAATAAATTCTCATTCAATCTATCATTGTCTTGCCAGAGGTGCGCTTTCACTACAGTTATAAAACTGCAACATTAACAACCACTGTGAAAAAAATAGTGAAATTTCAAGCGCATTCGTGACTTCTCAGATTATCAAGGAACTATGATAGTTCCTTGATAATGTGAAAAGTCATGAACGCGCTTTGTATATCAATATTTATTCACAGTGGTTGTTCTGCATATTGTGATATCAGACCAGTGCAACGGGCAAGTGAAGTAGTAGCATCAGCAACACAAACAGCAAGTGGCATTCTTGAGCTTCCCCAAAGCTCGGCTTAATGCCCAAAGCTGGGGTGTGACTCCTAAAGGATCCTGTAGTTCTTGCTGCCTTTGCACCTCCTGATATCGTCTGCTGCTGTGCAGCTGTCACACCCGTCGAGCCCAGTTTGGGCGGGGTTTGTGGCAGCCCAAGGTGCCTAGCTTCTCCCTCCGAGCCCCGTGGGAGCGGGTAATGGGGCTAGGCCTGGGGACAGCTGGTCCCAGAAGATGAGGAGGTACTTGTACCTCCTCCCATGATAGACATTGGTGATATCACCTGTTTATCGTGCTCATATTGCATATATATATATATATATATATATATATATTATATATATATATATATATATATATATATATATATATATATATATATATATATATATATATATATATATATATATATATATATATATTATATACGTGTGTGTGTGTGTGTGTACATATTCTTTTGGATTTACTTATTTTGTAAATAAATTAAAATTCATTATCTCTCATCTAAGTTTGATTTGCAAGTGTAAATAAAATATACACGTAAACTATTTACCCTTTTGTTCACTATTATCATTTTAAAACCTCTTTTCTTCCTTGCCTTATTTCTGTTTTTTACTTTGTTCCTCTTCTGTTACGAGAGTAAGAACACAACTCACTGTAGTAACTGTGTTAATTAGAGAACATTCACGCGCAACAAGACTTATGAACGGTTGAACTAAGCTGTCATTAAAACAAAAAATAAGAATTTCTCGGTCATGACTCTGAAAAATGTTTGTCTGTCATCAACGCTTCCAAGAAGTCATGAATAATAGCGGCTAGAGGAAAACAGTCAACCTCTGAGGAGGAGAGGAAGAAAAACCTGAGACTTGGCTTTATTACCTCCCAGCACGCTGAGAAGACTGTGTTGTCTTGGTGACTGTGAGGCAGTGTCTGGTGACTGTGAGGCAGTGTCTTGGTGACTGTGAGACAGTGTCTTGGTGACTGTGTGAGACAGTATCTTGGTGACTGTGTGAGACAGTGTCATGGTGACTGTGTGAGACAGTGTCTTGGTGACTGTGTGAGACAGTGTCTTGGTGACTGTGAGACAGTGTCTTGGTGACTGTGTGAGACAGTGTCTTGGTGACTGTGTGAGACAGTGTCTTGGTGACTGTGTGAGTCAGTGTCTTGGTGACTGTGTGAGGCAGTGTCTTGGTGACTGTGTGAGACAGTGTCTTGGTGAGTGTGTGAGGAAGTGTCTTGGTGACTGTGTGAGACAGTGTCTTGGTGACTGTGTGAGACAGTGTCTTGGTGACTGTGTGAGTCAGTGTCTTGGTGACTGTGTGAGACAGTGTCTTGGTGACTGTGTGAGGCAGTGTCTTGGTGAGTGTGTGAGGCAGTGTCTTGGTGACTGTGTGAGACAGTGTCTTGGTGACTGTGTGAGACAGTGTATTGGTGACTGTGTGAGGCAGTGTCTTGGTGACTGTGTGAGACAGTGTCTTGGTGACTGTGTGAGACAGTGTCTTGGTGACTGTGTGAGACAGTGTATTGGTGACTGTGTGAGACAGTGTCTTGGGGACTGTGTGAGGCAGTGTCTTGGTGACTGTGTGAGACAGTGTCTTGGTGACTGTGTGAGACAGTGTATTGGTGACTGTGTGAGGCAGTGTCTTGGTGACTGTGTGAGACAGTGTATTGGTGACTGTGTGAGGCAGTGTCTTGGTGACTGTGTGAGGCAGTGTCTTGGTGACTGTGTGAGACAGTGTATTGGTGACTGTGTGAGGCAGTGTCTTGGTGACTGTGTGAGACAGTGTATTGGTGACTGTGTGAGGCAGTGTCTTGGTGACTGTGTGAGACAGTGTATTGGTGACTGTGTGAGGCAGTGTCTTGGTGACTGTGTGAGGCAGTGTCTTGGTGACTGTGTGAGACAGTGTCTTGGTGACTGTGTGAGACAGTGTATTGGTGACTGTGTGAGGCAGTGTCTTGATGACTGTGTGAGACAGTGTATTGGTGACTGTGTGAGACAGTGTATTGGTGACTGTGTGAGGCAGTGTCTTGGTGACTGTGTGAGACAGTGTATTGGTGACTGTGTGAGGCAGTGTCTTGGTGACTGTGTGAGGCAGTGTCTTGGTGACTGTGTGAGACAGTGTATTGGTGACTGTGTGAGGCAGTGTCTTGGTGACTGTGTGAGACAGTGTATTGGTGACTGTGTGAGGCAGTGTCTTGGTGACTGTGTGAGTCAGTGTCTTGGAGACTGTGTGAGACAGTGTCTTGGTGACTGTGTGAGTCAGTGTCTTGGTGACTGTGTGAGACAGTGTCTTGGTGACTGTGTGAGTCAGTGTCTTGGTGACTGTGTGAGACAGTGTCTTGGTGACTGTGTGAGGCAGTGTCTTGGTGACTGTGTGAGACAGTGTATTGGTGACTGTGTGAGGCAGTGTCTTGGTGACTGTGTGAGACAGTGTCTTGGTGACTGTGTGAGTCAGTGTCTTGGTGACTGTGTGAGACAGTGTCTTGGTGACTGTGTGAGTCAGTGTCTTGGTGACTGTGTGAGACAGTGTCTTGGTGACTGTGTGAGTGTCTTGGTGACTGTGTGAGACAGTGTCTTGGTGACTGTGTGAGACAGTGTCTTGGTGACTGTGTGAGGCAGTGTCTTGGTGACTGTGTGAGTGTCTTGGTGACTGTGTGAGACAGTGTCTTGGTGACTGTGTGAGGCAGTGTCTTGGTGACTGTGTGAGTGTCTTGGTGACTGTGAGACAGTGTCTTGGTGACTGTGTGAGGCAGTGTCTTGGTGACTGTGTGAGGCAGTGTCTTGGTGACTGTGTGAGACAGTGTCTTGGTGACTGTGTGAGGCAGTGTCTTGGTGACTGTGTGAGACAGTGTCTTGGTGACTGTGTGAGGTAGTGTCTTGGTGACTGTGTGAGGCAGTGTTTTGGTGACTGTGTGAGACAGTGTCTTGGTGACTGTGTGAGACAGTGTCTTGGTGACTGTGTGAGGCAGTATCTTGGTGACTGTGTGAGACAGTATCTTGGTCATTGTGAGGCAGTGTCTTGGTGACTGAGGCAGTGTCTTGGTGACTGTGTGAGACAGTGTCTTGGTGACTGTGAGGCAGTGTCTTAGTGACTGTGAGGCAGTGTCTTGGTGACTGTGTGAGGCAGTGTCTTGGTGACTGTGTGAGGCAGTATCTTGGTGACTGTGTGAGACAGTATCTTGGTGACTGTGAGGCAGTGTCTTGGTGACTGAGGCAGTGTCTTGGTGACTGTGTGACACAGTGTCTTGGTGACTGAGGCAGTGTTTTGGTGACTGTGAGGCAGTGTCTTGGTGACTGTGTGAGACAGTGTCTTGGTGACTGTGAGGCAGTGTTTTGGTGACTGTGAGGCAGTGTCTTGGTGACTGTGTGAGACAGTGTCTTGGTGAGTGTTAGGCAGTGTCTTGGTGACTGTGAGGCAGTGTCATGGTGATTGTGTGAGACAGTGTCTTGGTGAGTGTGTGAGGCAGTGTCTTGGTGACTGTGAGACAGTGTCTTGGTGACTGTGTGAGGCATTGTCTTGGTGACTGTGAGACAGTGTCTTGGTGACTGTGAGACAGTGTCTTGGTGACTGTGAGACAGTGTCTTGGTGACCGTGAGGCAGTGTCTTGGTGATTGTGTGAGACAGTGTCTTGGTGAGTGTGTGAGGCAGTGTCTTGGTGACTGTGTGAGGCAGTGTCTTGGTGACTGTGAGACAGTGTCTTGGTGACTGTGAGGCAGTGTCTTGGTGACTGTGAGGCAGTGTCTTGGTGACTGTGAGGCAGTGTCTTTGTGACTGTGAGGCAGTGTCTTTGTGACTGTGAGGCAGTGTCTTGGTGACTGTGAGGCAGTGTTTTGGTGACTGTGAGGCAGTGTCTTGGTGACTGTGAGACAGTGTCTTGGTGACTGTGCGAGGCAGTGTCTTGATGACTGTGAGACAGTGTCTTGGTGACTGTGTGAGACAGTGTCTTGGTGATTGTGTGAGGCAGTGTCTTGGTGACTGTGAGAGACAGTGTCTTGGTGACTGTGTGAGGCAGTGTCTTGGTGATTGTGTGAGGCAGTGTCTTGGTGACTGTGTGAGACAGTGTCTTGGTGACTGTGTGAGACAGTGTCTTGGAGACTGTGTGAGACAGTGTCTTGGTGACTGTGTGAGACAGTGTCTTGGTGACTGTGTGAGGCAGTGTCTTGGTGACTGTGTGAGACAGTGTCTTGGTGACTGTGTGAGACAGTGTCTTGGAGACTGTGTGAGACAGTGTCTTGGTGACTGTGTGAGACAGTGTCTTGGTGACTGTGTGAGACAGTGTCTTGGTGACTGTGTGAGACAGTGTCTTGGAGACTGTGTGAGACAGTGTCTTGGTGACTGTGTGAGACAGTGTCTTGGTGACTGTGTGAGACAGTGTCTTAGTGACTGTGTGAGACAGTGTCTTGGAGACTGTGTGAGACAGTGTCTTGGTGACTGTGTGAGACAGTGTCTTGGTGACTGTGTGAGACAGTGTCTTGGTGACTATGTGAGGCAGTGTCTTGGTGACTGTGTGAGGCAGTGTC